TGGGTCTACAATGCCAATTCTCAATTTTTTTTCCGAGATACGGGAATATATCATGACACGAGACGAGATATGCCTTCTTATATCATGACACGAGCTCATAATGGGTCCATATATCCTAAGAAAATTTTTTTCCGAGATACGGGTCTTCTTATATCATGACACGAGCTCATAAAAAAATTTCAGCCAAATCGGAAATTTCGAGATTTTTCCAAAATCCGTCCAGTTTGAAAAAGAATGATCCATATACACCCCTATTATAAATACTCCCAAGGAATAAGTCTCCCACTTTCGTCGCTATTCCCATGAATAGGACTCCCTTATTCTAAATTGCTTGAGAGATAGTTGCTTTGGGAACAACAAATATCTAAAATTTATTTTGTTAAACTTTGGCAACATGAGTAAAAGAAAGAAAAGAATTGGGCATCATATGTTGATTTGAACTTAAAAATTGCGTTATTTGTGTACGGCACAAAATATCAAAAATATATATATTAAATACTTTATAAGTAAATATCAAGAAACTCTTATTTTTTTATTTTAATTATTTATTTTATTTTTTAAATATCCACAAATTCGTTTTTTTTACATACATTAAAACAAAATAAAATATCTGTTATTAATGTTTATTAATGTTTTAACTAAAATCTGAGTTCATCTCCAAAAGTCGCATTTATTTCTATAATGAGAATAAAAATGTTCTTCAATTAATAAACTGCAATAATAGATTATAATTGCGCACATACATATTGCAATTAAGAAAAAGCAATGTTTTACCTGCGCATAATTACAAAAAATTATATTAAACTTATTCAAAAAATCCCATTCATTCTAGAGTTTGAGTTCCTTTTATTATTCAATTGTTTTAAATAACAATAGTTAACGTTTTAATTTGTGGAAAAAAGTCGTGTGAAGTTTGCTTGGGAGAAATTTTGTGCAACATAGAAGAAAAACTTTCATTCCCATTTAATGCAGAATAAGGGAATTGGGAATAGGGAACAAAATTCCAATTTCTATATGGTTCAGAATAAAGGAACTGGGAAAAAACTTCTATTCCTATGTGACTTAGAATAGAGGTGATAGTACATCACCTGCACTATTCTTAGGTACGATTTTTATAATACCACTCATTCAGTGGTAGCAAACTCAATACGTAATGACTTTGTTATGTTATCGACTATTTCCTTTATTTATAATTACAATATTTAGCTTACTAACTAGATAAAAATTACCATAATCAGCAAAATATAGATGAAATTACAACAACCAATATATGTTAATATAGATGAAACCACTATATTTTAACCGTTTTGTAGAGATATTACCTCCTTAAAAGCTCAGACTGAACTGAACTGCTTGTGCCGTGGCTTATATTGATTTTTCAAACGAGACTTTCAAGCGACATCACTTCTCTGCCAGTGCTTGAGTTACGAACGATGTAACGCATTTTCTTGGAATGCGTGCGCTTACTATGCTTCGTGTTAAATTGTTAGTGTTGGCATTTAATTGAATTGTACGGGAGAATTGTGTGTCTGTTGCGTTCAACTTTACTTCGTTTCTTGGTTTAAATGCTTTTTTCAGGAGATCGATACTTTCGCATACTGGTTTCCCTTTTATTAATAGGTCTTATCGGTCCGACTTAAAACCTTTTATGGTCTATTATATGACGTTTTCAAAGATGGTCGAACAGCATCATCGCGGAAGAAAACGTGAGTACATTTTTCCAACTCGCTCTGTACAAAAACTTTATCTTTTGCGTGTAGTGATATTGGTAGTAGACGAATGTTATTCACGACCTGCCTAAAGCGTTGCACTGCCGTATACGATTTTTGCAGGTGTGGCATCCAAATATTCTTTATGAGTGCTCCTTAAGGCAAGAATGACATGTGGAAGTACGACAGTTCAGTGTTGGTCGTTCTTACACTTTAAGGCTGTTTTTAGCGTGAATTAAATAAATTAAAAGCATTAAGCTTAACTTAAATGTTTCTTTACTGAAACGAATCTTAAGACTAACTTATATCTAACATTTTTGCTTATATTTATAGCAAGGATTTGAAGTGTTGAATCCTGATAATATAAAGTGTTTAATTACAATACAATGTTTTGGTAGTTTACATTCGTTTCTGTTTCTGCGTCTATTTCTTTCTTTTTTGAACTTAATATGGGAAACAACATCATTACTCCAACTTTATTAAATTCTTTTGGTACTTTTATTATAAATACTATATTTTCGTTATCTTCTGAAATAGCTGTTCTTAGGTATCTTATATTGTTAATTTTTTTTTATCATAATCGTCAATTTCTTATTTCGTTAGAATATTTGTGAAGGTTAGTCCATTCTGTGCTGCCGTTATATAGTTTTGAATGTGTTTTATATCATTTCTTATTTTCTTTATTGAGAAATTCCATTACATTTGCATTATTAAATTTGTTATCGAAAATACATTTTTTATCTTCCCTTTAATTGATAAAAACTCTTGAATTTTTGACACTAATGTTCGGCTATTTCTGTCCATTAGCGGAAAACATACATTGTGACCGAAAAGCTTTCGGAAATTCTCATTTAAAATTCGCGCGCTGTATATTTTTCGATATTTTAAGTTTATGTAGCTTGGCAGGCACTGTCCTTAATTACTATGGCAAAAATGAGCCGCGATCTGTCGGACAGTTCGTTTACGGCAGCTGTTGAAACCAGTTCACCTCAGTAGTGCGTTGCGAAAAAAACAATGGAAAAAAATATTGAACAAAGAGTTTGCATCAAATTTTGTTTTTCGAACGAAATTTCGTGTGCAGAATCGTTGCGAATGCTACAAAAGGCTTATGGGGAATCAGTTTTATCGAAAACTCAAGTTTATGAGTGGTACAAAGCCTTTCAGGACTGTCGTACGACCGTCGAAGACATGCCGCGTTCTGGACGACCTTCGACCTCTACCACCGACGAAAACATTGAAAAGGCAAAGGAAATCGTGTTCAAAAATCCTCATGTGAGTGTTAGAGAGATAGCACGAGAGCTAGGCATCGGTCGTGAGATGGCTCGTTTGATTTTGGTGGACAATTTGTGTATGCGACGTGTCAACGCCCGGCTTGTTCCGATTCACCTCAATTTGTTCAACATTATCAACGATTTTAAGGCCAAACATTCAATAAATACCATCGAACAGCCACCGTATTCACCTGATCTTGCACCGTGTGACTTTTTCCTGTTTCCCAACCTCAAATTACCACTCAGAGGAACGCGTTTTGAATCCATAGAAGACGTAAAACAGAATTCGCAGAGGGAACTCAAAGCCATACCGGAAAGCGCCTATAAAAAATGTTTTGATGATTGGAAGAAACGTTGGCATTTGTGTATCGCTTCTAATGGAGCATATTTTGAAGGAGATAAAATAAATATTGATGAAGATTAAGAATTTTGCGTTTTATTTATTTATTTCCGGAAACTTTTCGGTCACAATGTATTGCATGTTTTGAGAATTAGTCAATGAAAATAATAAAAGTCTGTTTGTTGTTAACTTATGTACATAACTTAGGTACATGAATTATCTCGTTCTTAGTTATGTGTCTTTCAGTTATAAAAAATTTGTTTTTGATTGGCTTTCTATCGTAATTTCCACCATTGCATACCTCAAAGTAATTAATAATTGTATAAATATTTTCTCGTAATAGTGGATTAAAGATTTTTCTCTTTATCATTTCATAAGTTGATATTATACCAGCATGCCCAGTTCCATTTTTATGAAAAAGAGATATATGTTTAAGCATTTCGTCTTCGTTAGTGATATCCCTGGCTAAGTAAGAGTATTTTACGAATTTGTATTGTGTATTTTGAAATTTCTCTACTAATATTTGTTGGAGTTTATTATATTCATAATCGGATAATTCCGAATAAATTGCAATTTTTCCTTTGGAGAAATATTGTTGAATTAAATCTCTTACAATATTTTGTATGCAATCAGCTTTGTCAATGAAAATTCTTTTGTTGTTGAATAAATTTTCGTAGTGCTTTTCTTTTCTTTCTTGAAAAATAATTTGTCTTTTAAATCGATTGATAACTGTAGTTAAAATAGGAATGTGGTTATTTACTTCTTCCTCTTGAGAGTGAATTGTTTCAACGGTCATTGAACTTGCATCATTGTCATCCTTTTGATCATGACTATTGTTAGGGTTTATGTCGTTCAGACAATTCATTTCTGAAGTGTCAGGGTTTATGCGACTTAAAAAATGAGCTGTTTTATTATCCTTTCCTTTTATGTGATCTATTCTAGCATTATGTTCGCCTAATTGTATAAGCCATCTTTGTAGTCTTGGATTAATGTCTTTGCCTTCAAATTTCGTCTGAAGCCACTTAAGTGGTTGGTGATCTGTTTGTAGTTCAAACTCACGACCGTAAACGTTTGGTCTGAAATATTTTATTGCCCAAACTATGGAAAGAAGTTTTTTTTCAATAGTGAATAGTTTTGTTCATGTTTATTTAATGTCCTTGATGCATAGGCTATTGGATGTCACTCTTGAGTTAAGACTGCCCCTAGAGCAAAATTGCTTGCATCAGTAACTAATTTGAATTCTTTTGCAAACTCTGGGTACCTAAGTACCAGTGTCTTTGTCACAATATCCTTTAATATTTCGAACCCTAAAATTTAATTAGAATCGTTTTTATTGATTCGCTGTTCTTTTTGAAGGTATCTTATCATTGAAGATATCTTATCATTTTAGCGTAATCCTTTATAAATTTTCTATTAAATCCTGTCGTACCTAAAAAGGATTTTATTTGCTTTTGATTAGTTGGTAATATTAGACTTTGTATTGTATCAACTTTTAGAGGGTCTGTTTTAATTCCTTCAGCTGTTAGAATACGACCTTAAAATGAAGTCTCTTTTTTTCATTTCGATTTTAGCAAGGTA